AGGGGAGGCGAGGAAAGGGCCAAGAGTGCAGGGGGCTAAGACTGGGAGTGTGACTGAGTCAGGAAATGCTTTTTGTGCCGCAAAACGGAGGAGGGGGCCGTGGGAGCCTCCCGCTGCGGGGCAGAGCTCTGCTGGGGACGTATGGGGGGGTATCCGAGACGCAGAGGTGGGACGAAGCGGTCAGGCGCTCTGGAGTCTACTTCCAGAAGGCTCCAGCATCTCCTTCCCCAGGGGAAAAAAAAAAAAGAAAACAGAAAGAGAAAAGATCAGACTTAGGCAGCACCTTGCTTGGATTAAGGTCACGCGCCCCCAAATCTTGGCGCGTCTGCATCTGAGGGAGGTGAGGCAGGAGGAGGGGGTGGTCCCTGTGACGGAGGGAACTCTCTGCTCACCCACCCCCAGCTTGGATTCCAGGTTCAGCACCTTGGACAGCCACATTCCTCCTTCTCTGCCACTTCTCCCGCCTTTCCCTTTTCCTACTTTGGAGCTGAGAGATCTCCCCCTGCCCCCTTGGGGTACCCTAGCCAGTATCTGGAAGGTAGCGGGAGCGGTACCCGCGGGCGGAAACCGAGCCGCCGGGGCCTCAGCCGCCTCCCCACTCTCCCCCCACAGACACCTCCCTTGTTTCCATAGCTCCCATCACCCGGGCAACGGGCCCTGGGATGGAAGAGGGAGGCTGCTGCCCAGGGCCCAAAGCCTCCCAGACACCTTCAGCCCCCATCAGCCACTCCACCCCCAGACAGTCACCCCTCTTAGCTCCCAGTACTGGTTGTGTCTCAGGCCCCTTCTCTCAGTGGAGACTCTGCCCCTGGATGGCCCACAGAGCCCCTCTTCGACCTCCACCCATTGGAGCCATAGGGAGCCAGCTCAGGTTCTGCTGCTGGGGTTGCTGGACTAAACTTCAGCGCCCAATCCTGTCCGACTTTGAGCACTGGGACAGACCCCCTGAAATTACCTAAAGAGATGCTAAAAAGAGGACCTTTCCTGGAAGGCAGAGAATGAGGACACTACTCATCACTGTCTCTCTCCCCCAACAAAGGAGATTTGTGAGTTTGGATAATCTCCATCTTTTGGTTTCCTATCAATACAATGGGTGTGATATCACCAGAATCTCTGCCCTGTCCACTCTCTAATAGGATGACAGGGTAGCAGCTATGCATGTGTCTTGCAGGCTGTGGGAATGCGGCGGGCGGTGGGAGGTGGGGGGGTATTGTCGTACCTTGTCAGTGTAGCACTTAGTGAGTGCTAGGATCTGTTTTCCCCAGGTAACTCATATAACTCTCACGACAACCATGTGAACAAGATATATTATCCCCCACTTTGCAGATACGAAAGCTGAGGCACAGAAGAGAGTTCATTAACTTGTCCAAGGTTACGGTTGGAAAGCGGCAGGGATGTGGTGCTGGAGCCCATGCTCTTACTACTATAGGTCCTCTGTATAAGCTCACCAGCCTGAATGCAGGCAGAAGGACTGCATGACCTTATCCAACCCCCCAGTGATCCCTGTGCCGGTTCCGGGCCACCCTTACATCCTTGTCCTTTTGTTCTATCTCTTCGCACTCTCATTTCAGAATATCCCAAAGGGGACCCAGGAATCAAATGAAGCCTGGGAAGCTTCTGGCTCTGACTTCTGACCACAGCCTGGGGGAGGTACTTACCCACCTTGAAGCTAAGCTCCCCTCCTGGCCTTGACCTAACCTTGACCTCTTCTTCCCACAGACAGCAACTTCCTGCTGGCCAACGCACAGGGCCCACGGGGCTTTCCCATTGTGTACTGCTCTGACGGATTCTGTGAGCTCACAGGCTACGGCCGTACCGAGGTCATGCAGAAAACCTGCAGCTGCCGCTTCCTCTATGGTCCGGAGACCAGCGAGCCAGCACTGCAGAGGCTGCACAAGGCCCTGGAGGGCCATCAGGAGCACCGGGCTGAAATCTGCTTCTATCGAAAGGATGGTAAGGAGGCCTGGCCTGCCCTGCAGTCCTGCAGCCCCGCAGCCCTGCCTAGGTGCCTTACCCAGAATTTGCCTGGCATGGCAGAAGTCTGGGTGCTGGTCCACCCACTGCCACAGGCTGACTAGGTGACGCCAAGTACATCCCTGATCCTCTCGAGGACTTCGTTCTCCCATCTGGAAGGGAAGGAGTCAGCTAACATAATCTCTGGGGTTCTTTCCAGATCTAAACCTTTGCCAAGCCCTTTGACTATGCTCAGGAACCATGGGAGGTTAAGGGGAAAGGGGTGCCATGGACTGCTCACCCTCCCATTCCACCTCTCCACATCTACAGGCTCAGCCTTTTGGTGCCTCTTGGACATGATGCCCATCAAGAATGAGATGGGAGAGGTCGTGCTTTTCCTCTTTTCCTTCAAGGACATCACTCAGAGTGGAGGCCCAGGACTTGGCCCCTCAGGAGGCCATGGTGACAGTAATCATGGTAACTGCAGGCCTGGGGAGGAGGCATTAATGGTCAGTGGTCCTTGCTGAAAGTCACACAAGACCTCTCCCTACCGGGCCTCACGGGATGCGCCCCCATTTATCTTGCACCCTTCTTCCCAACAGAAAACTCGGGCGGTTTTGGTAGGAGGGGAGCCAGCTCAAGACTTCGATCTGCCAGGAGGCAGAGCCGTACTGTCCTACACCGGCTGACTGGCCATTTTGGCCGCCGGGGCCAGGGAGGCATGAAAACCAACAATGTGAGTCCTGTCTGCACCCCAACGTCTCCCAGCTGTGATTCTGAGACAGCCTTGCTACTGTCTCCCCGTCTCCCTGCCTATCTGATCTCCCTCCCATGGCTTATTCCTCTGTCCACCCGTTTCTCATGTATGACTCTCTGCTGTGTCCCATCATGTCCCCTCACATCTTCCAACCCCATTTCCCTTGCTTCCTTCTGATTGACGTTACTCTACTATGATGATATCATAAGGGCAGGGACCTAGCAGCAATTACATCACCTACCTCTGGATGATAGAGTTACCTTTGCGGGGGAGGAGTGAAATCACAAGCTGTGGTCCTAGGGAGAGAGCCCCCAGTGGGGTCCTGCTGTCTAGCCCTAGGACCCTGATAAAGCCTTGGGATCAGTTGTCCAACCCTCTGTGTTGTTTTGAGGGCTACAGGGAATGGGGTGCGCCGTGCCAGCCTCCCCTCATCTCTGGGATATCCCCGTCCCCCACAGGGCCCCCAAATACCAAGAGAAACTTAAGGGAGATGTTAGTGACCCTTCAAGCTAAGGCGTGTGCCTGATTTGTCGTAATCTCCCTCTCAAGTAGGGGGAAGGCCCATCCTTATAAAACCCCCCTCTCAAAACATGATTGATCAACAGGGGGCCTGAGCAGTTGCTTGGCAGAGGAAGGAAGTGTTAGGTGCCAGCCCCTGGCCCCCTCCCCTGCACCTTCTATCTCCTGTCGTGGTCATGCCTGCAGCACCCACTCCCCCCTTCCCCATCCGCTGCCTCTCCCTTCCCCAAGCCTCGGCTCCTCTTTCCCTTAAATGTCCCCAACCGCCACCCCTCTCCCCCTAGAACGTGTTTGAGCCAAAGCCATCAGTGCCCGAGTACAAGGTGGCCTCCGTGGGGGGGTCCCGCTGCCTCCTCCTCCACTACAGCGTCCCCAAGGCCGTGTGGGACGGCCTCATCCTCCTCGCCACCTTCTACGTTGCGGTCACCGTTCCCTACAATGTCTGCTTCTTGGGCGATGATGACACCCCCATCACTTCCCGACACACCCTTGTCAGCGACATCGCCGTGGAGATGCTCTTCATCCTGGGTTAGACCTTCTGCCCCACATACCCTGGTGGGTGGGCTGGAGGGACCCACTCCTCCAACCTTTGCTCGATCCTGGGCCTGCAGTACCCAGGCATTCAGAGCCCAACCATTTCTTTAAGCCCTAATGGTCCATGTGCCCTGACCTCTGACCCCTTCAGCCTTCAACCTTTAGACCACTCCTCCCTGGAGACCAGCCAGAAGCCCGAGCTCTCTTCCTCTTCCCTGCCCCCACCTCCATTCTGGGCCTCAGGCTTGTTCCCAGCTTACTCATTTCCTTGGCCCCTCGGCCTGAGTTTCTGGGCACAAAGCCCCCTAGTAACCAACAGCCTCTTGCACCCCCCAGATATCATCCTGAACTTCCGCACCACCTATGTGTCCCAGTCCGGCCAGGTGGTCTCTGCTCCTCGTTCCATCGGTCTTCACTACCTGGCCACCTGGTTCTTCGTTGACCTTATTGCTGCTCTGCCTTTTGACCTGCTTTATGTCTTCAACATCACCGTGGTGAGTGACCCCCAGGCCACCCTGCAGCCCAGCCTCCCAAATTAGCCCAGCATCTCCTATGAAGGCACCGACCCCAACTCAGACTCAGTCCTTCCCATCCATCCATCTGCATGTAGTTGTCAGGCACCTGCCGTGGGCTGCTCAGAAGGAGCTGGGAGGGTCTGCGCTCTCGGGGAGCTCAGCTCACAATCACTGAGGGAAGCTGAGACAAATCAAAAGCTAACTAGGGCTACCAAGGCGGCATTGGTCTGATGCCAAATGAGTGGTACTTTTCACATTTTTATTTAACAAACAACCGATGAGCATTTAGCTGTCTGCAAAGCACTGTGTGGAGCATGGTCACGGTGGGGAAAAGGGACAAGGATTCAGCCTCCAGGCAGCTAAGCTGGTGAGGGGGCAGGACTGGTGGAGGGGACGGCAGGAACAGAAGAGGTGAATGGAGAGGAAGATGGGGCCCAGGTGTTGCTGGCAGCTGGGCAGGAGCTAGCCGACCTTGGAGTTCCAGGCAGGAAAGTGGGCGTACGTACAAATGATCTGAAATCTAGCCAGCACCTGGGAGGCCAAAGCACTGCAGTTGGAAAAAGGCCAGCGGTGGTCTGGGAAGGATTCCTGCAGGAGACAGAGCAGAGCTAGACCCTTGACAGAGAGCAGGATTTGGCTGGCAGAAGATGGGGAGAGAGCATCTGGGGGGAGCGTTGTAAGCCAAGACAAGGAGGCAGAGGCTGTGGGGTGGATTTGGAGGCAGACAGTGCCAGGTCCTGGGCCCTCTCAGCTCCCCGGGGACTGCCCGGAGGTGCCCTGAGTGGTCAGCTCTGCACCCAGCCAGCAGATAGCAGGTGCTCTCGAGTCCAGGGTGAGGGAGTCCCACCCTGTGTCCCCAGACCCCCTTGGCTGCTGGGTGGGGAGGTGGAGAGCAGTTTCCCTGTGCGCTCCTCTCTCTGCCACACTCAGCTATAGTGGGAAACCACCTACACGCAGCCGGATTTAACTAGCCGCCAACGGGCTGTGGGCCTCTTCTCCTGGCTGGGTACACGTGTGTGCACACTCCCACACACGTGCATGTGTGTATGTCTGCCCTGAGGCTCCGGCCACTCCGAGCAGAGCTCCCCACCCCTCCCTGTGACTGCACTCTCCCATCCCGTGCCCACCAGGCTGTGTCAGCCAGCCGGACAGCTGTCCTGGGGAGAGCTACAGAGAATCCCCTGTCTCTCCTCCCAGGCAGTCCCCCTCCTCTGATACCTTAAGGAGCATCTTACATTTACTAAGTCCTTTCGCCCACATCATCACATAGGAGCCTCACAGTAACCCTTCAGGGCAGATTCTCTTTTTCAGAGGTAGCTGCAAAGGCTCAGAGAGGTTAAGTGACTTGCCGCAGGTCACACAGCTAGCAGCGGCAGGCAGGAGATTGGAACCAGGCCTCCAGACTCCTAGCCTATTCCTCTTTCTAACGTACCACCCCGGTTCTCAGGAACCCCATGCACCCAACTCGATGATGTGGCAGAAGGGGGGAGGAGGAGCAGTGTGGGGCTGCAGGGAGACAGAGCAAAGATAGAGGATGAGTAGGCACTGGCAGAGCTGTGGACTTGAAGGAGCCAGGCCTGGGACACTCTGGTCCAAGGAGAAGGAGAGGAGGGCCCCAAGGGAGTGGAGCTCAGAGGCAGGTGACTAGGAGAAGCTCTGAAGGACTCAAGTTTGGAAGCAGAAGCTCTGGGAGCTGGAGGCAGGCGTTAAGCCCTGGAGACGGTCCATGTGGAGGAAGCAGGGCCACCTCCTTTCCAGCTCCTTCACCTAAAATTAGAGAAAAGGACAGGAGGTGGCTCAGGAGCCGTGCCGGGCCAGGGCTGTGGGGGATGCTGCCGGAGGCTTCTGAGAGGGCCTTCATACCAAGTTCCCCCGGCGCTGCCCCAGAGCCCCCAGCCCTAGCTTCCAAGCTGCCCCCTCCCAGAGTAGTGACAGGATAAGTTTCCGTACCTGCTCCTCGTCTCCAAGATTTGGAGGGCTAGTTGAAGCACTGGTGACCACAATGACATCAGTCGTGGTGGTAATATTAGCTAACACAGGATGCTTACGAGGTGCCACCAGCTCCATAACCCCCACCTAAGCCCCACAATGGCTAAGACCTTGAAACCCAGGCTCCTTCACTTTCTGCTCTCCTTCCCCCAGCACTTCGGTATGCGCCTCTCATCAGCAGCTCACCCACCATGGCCATGGCCCCTAACCTCCCCCTGTCCCCAAGCCTCTTGCCTGTTCGCGCCTTACCTTGCTACTCTGTGGGTTGAGGACGGCTCCCATCACAACTGCTGTCATCGCCAACAACCAGCTCTTGTCCACAGCTGGTTGTGCCTAAGACTTTGAGGGCTTCAAGCAGGGGCCAGAGATCATTGTGTCTGTTCCCCTGCCTCTGAGCCTTAGTTTACTCATCTGCAAACTGGAACAATGATGATAACTGAACTGAAGGCATGAGTGTGTCATGAGGATCGTTAAGTGCTTAGCCCAGAGCCTGACACACATATAGTAAGTACTTACATAAGTAAGCAAGTACACATATAGTAAGTGTTAGCCTTTATTGGTTTTAGTATTATTCTCTCCTGGCCACATTCCCTGGTCACTTTCTCAGGACAGCAGGGACGGTTTCCCCTGCTGCAGCTTCCCCTGGCTCCAGGGCATCTGGGAGGGGACACAGGGGCTCCGAGGAGGCGGAGGCGTGCCTGCTCCCAGCCTCCCCCACCACACTCCTGCAGACATCGCTGGTGCACCTTCTGAAGACGGTGCGGCTGCTGCGGCTGCTGCGGCTGCTGCAGAAGCTGGAGCGATACTCACAGTGCAGCGCCGTGGTCCTCACACTGCTCATGTCCGTCTTCGCGCTCCTCGCCCACTGGATGGCCTGCATCTGGTACGTCATCGGGCGCCGGGAGATGGAGGCCAATGACCCGCTGCTTTGGGACATCGGTGAGCCACCGACCCCAGGCTTTCGCTGACATCCGTCCGCCTGCCCTGTCCACTCAGGCCCCCGGGCTGATGCCTCCTCTGGCACCACACCCACCACCCCACATTCTTCCCTCTGGGTCAGGCACGGGGGTACTGAAGTGAAGTGAAGACCAGGGGTCTGCCTGGGCAGACCTCACAGCCTAGCAGGGGAGCAAGACCGGTGACAGGCAATCAAAGCAGTACTGGAAACACTCTCATGGTCAGGAGGGTGTTTGGGGCAGAGGTAGTGCTCCTTCTCCCCCCGACCCTTTCAGTGGCTCTCCACTGCCCTCAAAATAAAGTCCACCCTCAAAAAAAAAAAAAA